TTTTTTTATTACCTTATAATCTTGATCGGGCAGCATGTTAAGCAAAAAGCAAACCAAGTTTTGAGGGAATTCAAATTTGAATGTCCAAAAAATGAATTCTTCCAAAAGAGTTGTATGGACGAGCTTTTCTCCTAAAGCAGGCAGGTGCTTATAATCGTCGGGCGGTTCAGGACGGGGAAATCGGTTTACAGCTTCTTCATACTTCTCGCGATTCGACTTTAAAAATCGTCCATGCCGTGTATCCAAGCAGGGAGATTCCGTAAAAGATTTGTAGACCTAAAACAGAGAGTATAAGAAACGGGACATACACAGGTGGTCCGATAATTAGACGATTTTCTTTTACAAGTTTTGACCTTCTATTTTTTTATAAGCTTTGATTTATTTTTTAAGAAAATATAGTGCGTGCTGAAACGAAAATTATATAGTTCAAAGAATTCAACTCTGTACAAGATTTATAATAATTCGACGAATTTCCGAAAATTGTCATCAATCTTTCTAGAAAAAAGTCGGATATGCAGTTGTATATCCCATTCAATTTTAGTATAAGTATTGTGCAAGTTTGAATTAGTTCAAAAATCTCGTTGATTTTTATTTTTGTTTTTTTTTTTGCTGACTGTTCCAATTTTTTTTTTTTTGTGGGGGAAAATGAGCAACATCGCTAACAAAAGAGATTCTCGAAAATCAACGAAATTGAATGGGCTATAAAACTGCATACCCGAATTTTTTCTAGAAATTCCTATTAAAAAATTTAAAATTTTGATGTCCATTTTTTAAACTTCTTCGAATTATTATAATCTTTTACAAAGTTTAAAATTTTAAGTTATATGGTTTTTACTGTAGCACGTACTATATTTTCCTAAAAATAAATTAAAACTTATAAATAAAAATATATGGTCAAAACTCGTAACAGAAAATCGTTTTTAATTATCGGGCCACCAGTGTAGTATGTAAAAAAGTACCAAGCATTTAGCATTACTCACATCAGGATTTATGAGGGCACGTGTCATCACTTTGCGCATTATTTCGCCCATGTTGTTAAGATCGATCAACATATTTGCAAACTCTTCGCATGAATAAGCGGCCAAATTATACGTTTGTGATGTGGCATCACTGTGTTCCCGGAAGTGCTGCAGTAATCGAAAAAGTAATTTTGGCATTATAGCTTCTGCCACGGCGAGTAAATTAGAGGGCACGGGCTCTTTGTTGGCCCTATTGTTTATGCCGTGGTCACTGCAGAAACCCTCTGCTTTCATCACAGATGTATCGCCACAATCGCAGGCGCCGCCAGCCTGAGACAAGAACATGTTGAAGTCGTGATTGGTATGATCGCCCTTCTTGAAGCAGTCGCGGCAAATGGACATACATGGTGAAATGCCGCATGTACGACACCGATACGCCACTACATGCGGTACCCATACCAGACCACATTTTGCGTGATTATCATAGCTGCGTACTGTTACGAAAATACAAATACCAAATGTTCTATGAGCAAACCAAATTTCTGTAACATTTAATGGCGTTATTCAATACTAAAATTTTAAATTATTCTATTAAACTCTACATTAGTATAGGGTGTATTCAAAATACAA